TTTAGTAACCATCCTAAAAAAATTTTTGGAGTGCGTGGCGAACGTCACTCACCTTTACTCGAAAATTTTTTGTCGCTTTCCTCCCCTCTCCCCCTCCCCCCCCCCCCCCCACATGAACCGAAATCCAGGGATCGCCACTGGCTACTACATATATCATGCTGGGAGAAAAAGAAGTCTACGAGGATGCCATCCTATGAGATTGAGGAGATCGATGGCAGGAAATTTATTAAGATCTTTATAAATCCTCAAATCAAAACTTTGATAGGGCTCAGCGGCCACGAGCGTTGATGGACATGGAGAGCCTCTCAAATTTGACTTTCCCGCTCTCCATAGTCGAATCCGAATATCATAATCATAGATTTGGGGAAGGGTGTTCTGTTCCTTTCTAGAAACTTCAACCTATTGTGACATAGAAGATGAGAATAAGAGGCGATTTTAAAAAATGCTCCGCATCGAAATCTTTTTTACAACAATCGAAAAATGTGTGACTTTGAGGCTATGTCCTGTTATCACATTCAAATCAAGAATCTATGATGTGAAAGCAAACTGAGTGTTAAAAAGCAGATTCAATTCAAATCCCAAACGTCGTTGAGATGAACAAGTAGAGCTAGACAATAAATAAAGCCGAAGCTAAATCATGCTAAAATACTAAGAGAAAATGAATTGTTGAGCAGAGATCATAAATTAGCATTTTCGTTGGCAAACAACATGGAGGTCAAAAGTGCATTGAAAAGTACAAATGTTGACACAAAGTCAAGATTCGCATTGTTTGTTGAAATGATAATCATTATCAGATACAGCGGCAGAATGTTGGTGAAGAACTCGTCTTTGCTAGAAAACTTAGCCGTCTACCAGCTTTCAAGCAGAAAAGAGTGCTTCTACTATTTGATATATGAGTGAGCAATGAAACCACGTAAACTAATCTTTCTATCATTTCAGTGACATGCATTTATAGCGCGGAAACCAGTTTGAAATCGGATTGTATGGCATATTGAAAAAGTGACCCACAACGAGGGCGTTGTGATGACTACGAACAAGGTGATGATTCATCGGAGAAGAAGGGAACAGCTTCAAGTGATGGCGCCAGGTGTTGCCCAACCCATTCACCAGGGTAACTCATAAAATTTTTTTTCAGAAAAGACCCGACGCCCCCATCTTAAAACGAATTACCATATCGATCGCGCTGACTTGTGCTTTGGAACAGAGGTCGAACTGAATTTTTATCGTTTAATTATAACGAAAATGATTGATTATCTGTTTTTATCTACTGTTTTCTTATGCATAGCCACCATACCAGTGTTTCCTGAAAAATCAAATTATTGATTTTTTAATAAATTCGCTACAATAAGAAAGCATCCTAGTGCTAAAGCAATGTACGGAGTTTGCTAATTGTAAATTTGATAGGCAAATTCACAGTAGATGAAATGCGACTTTTTTCGAGATGCTCATGGAAAATGCACTTTTCATTTTGACTTTAGAGATATGTATGAGGCTGTGTTTTATCAAGGATGTCTGTCCCTGAGTTTGCGATATTGCTCATGCAATACGTTAACAGTACTTTAACATTTTTTGTCAATTATGTCACTTTCGATTATTGTTAGGTATTGAACACTTCAAAATGTGAAAAGTGCGGGGGTGATCTCGTTTGTTTAAGTGGTGCGTGGTCCTTTTGGAGTCGTGAGCAACATCCGTAGCCGGTACGACAGCCACAATTTGGCGAAGCCCTATACAAATGTAAGTTGTAAATGTGACCTGATCAGGGCAGCGTCTCGGCAATAAAAAGTGCCGGAATTTTACAGTGTTGCAATAGTGGACCCTCTACCCTAATCTATCATTGAAGTCTGAAGCGAAGTGAAACGCCCAAAATCCGCTCCGGACGTCTTCCGAAACCCGCACACTTCCGACTCGCCCACTTCTTACACGGAATTTGGAGCGAACGCGCGCACGGAGAGCCTCGAAAAAACCTAATTTTTTCATTTTTAGCTCTGAAAAGTACAAAGATGGATTCAGCATGGCGCAAAGGCTCCGAAGAGGTGAGAGACCGGGAAACTAAATTTTGCCGGGACACTGCCTATAGAGAATCTGTGACAGAACAACGAAAACTCTGCGTAGAGACGAAATTCTAACGACATTGCCGAAGATCTCACGAAAACCTAATAAATGCTCTGTTTTCAATGCAAAGCGCAGAAAACCCTGAGCAAGAACTCAGCAGAAACCCCACATGCATTGCAGCTCGCCTCAGTTTCGATTCCAACCTAAAAGTTTCTTTCTGCATCAAACAAGCGACTTTTGATAAGCTGTGTGAGCGTACAAAATTATGGAATGAAAAATTTTCTATTTGAATTTTGAGGATACCTGGTCAACAAATCCAGTCAATGATACTTATGTAATCAATTAATTGATTACATTAGTCTCGTTGAATGGGTCTGAGTTATGTACATCACTACAAATTTTTGCTTGATGATTTCCTTTACTATTTTTCTTGCTCACGAGTAATGCTTGATGTGTTCGGTTCAAAGCGATATAGGGAAACTATAAAATTGCGCCCCCGTGTATCGCGTACGCAGTTTCAACAATCGCTTTTCTCGGCTTTCGTCTCCCTAGACGTGTTTCTGAAATATGAAGCTTTTCAACGGTTCTCCCTCCTAGAGGGATCCCCTTGTCCTAACCACGTAGTTCGAGTTGTTAGGATCCTCTAAGGTTTCCAAACATTGGGCCATCGAAGTGAAGTAGTCATTTTCAAGCATAATCAATATCATTTAAAATTTGTTAGCTATAGACGAGTAGCATGCATACATTGCGAACTTGTCGGCGTCTCCTTGATCGAGCGCACTTTCGTTCCTCTTACCATCTGTTGTCTCTCCCATCCACGAAATCTCTTGGTCGAATGCAACGGCCTATACCTCTCTCTGCACCGGTTACACTGCTCCTTCTTTGCCCAGTAAGAATTTTCACTTCAAATAATCGCCAAACTATTGGATTAGGAACCACCCGCGTTTGTCTCACTTCCATTTTTAGTGGTTGTGCTTCCAAATCATTTTAGACTAAAAAAAGGCGAATTAGGCAGGCATATACTCATCGAGGAGTATAGCATGGCGACGATCGATGTGCATCAAATACGTGTAAAACTGGCGATTTTTGTCGCCGATAATGGCGATCGCCAATCGCTACTACTGGTGATCGCCCGTCGCCGATATTAGCGACAAGCGATCGCCCATCACCAAACAAGTTACCACGCGTCAAATCGATACGTATCGAACGTGTAGTCGCCGAAAACTGGCGATCGCCAATCACTACGACTGGCGATCGCTAATCGCAGTGTTGGCGACTACACATGGAATATGTATCGATTGGACGTGTGGTAAGGCCCCGGTCAGACTTCACGCGACTTAATCGTCGCGATCTAATCGCCAAGATTTCCATTCATTTTCATTTCACATTCAAAAATGTCGGGCTGGAAAAGTATCACAACCGAATGCAAGTTGATCGGCATGGAATGATGTTGTAACAGTTGTCTCGTCGCGACTCAGTCGCGACGATCAAATCGCGTGAAGTCTGCCCGGGGCCTAACTAGTTAGCGATCGACACGCATAGAAGACACAGTCGCCAGTATTGGCGACTGGCGATCCCCCGTCGCCATGCTATACTCTTCAAGGAGTATAGCGCCTGCCTTAGGCTCAAATACTCTTGTAATAACGAGATTTATGCTATCTTATATAAATCCTTGCCTCCTTTTCTCTCAATATACAATGTAATCCTTATACAGTTCTTTTCTCGCAGTATACATTAGAGCGCAAAAAGTTGTCGCCTAAAGTAATTGCCCAAGAATCGGATCTTTGTTAACACATTGACGACCGCTTGACATACCATGTGTGTCAAGCAATGACTACCACGTGGGACCGCTTGACACACATGGTGTGTCAAGATTTGAGTTTTACTAAAATGACGACTATCCCAGGAGAAACTCACTTCAAAAATTCTCTTTTGTCTTGGAGCTAGAAATAACCTCTATCTGTTCAATACGCCTCTCAGAGCTACTGTAAGTAAACTGTAGGTGGCAGTATGCGTGATTTTAACTGAAAATTGTTGACTGATCCGTGACAGGCTTTGGTCCCGGAAGGCAGACAACTCAAAATCTGCATGGTTGTCAATGTGTTAAGAACGCTTCTGCGAAATTCAAACTTGCTTTCGCATACAATGTCCACATCAGGTATTCCATATGTTAAGTTGCTGAAATTTTGATGGCTAAAAATTGTGAAAAGAAAATTGGCTTTTTTTGCCAAGGCAATGCCGGGCTGTTACCACATCGGTTATTCTATACTACAAGCTTTTTGAGTAAAACCAGAGATTTTTAACTTTCTTAAAGTATTAGTTTTCGGAATAAGAACTTTAACATGAGAAAGGATGAAAGGATGACATTTTTGTATTTTTGGGCTATTTTTTTGATTGTTTCTTATGATCGGAAAAATTCAATGATTGCTCAACAAAACATGTGATGTGGAGAATATATCTATGAGCAAGTTGAAGGTTTGTAGAATTTCCTTAGAAGGGGATCCGATTTTTGAGTATTCAAGTTTTTTTTTCTTGAATTTTGACAAACTTGACGATTAAAGTGCTTTTGGTGGAAACGTTGAGACAATGCTTACCAGGGGTGATGCTGAGCCTCTCTTTCTTTAGAAGTATTTTCATAGGCTTCTGAAGTCACATTTAGCCAAAACTACTCTGATTTGTTGAAAACACAAAACTGGCGGGGACCGGAATTAACCATTTATGGTCATTTGCGACAACCGTTCGCACATTCTGGTATTCCACGCACGGTGCAGGCAATTAGGCTTTACGCATCCTGCACATTTTGAGAGCTTTTTATTTACCGATGCGTGTCACTTTACAAATCGTTTTCTTGTCCAAATGAGCTTCTCTTGTCCGAAAGCTCAAATTATATCAGAACTGTTCAGCATTACTATTATGAAAAATAGAAAAAATTGATCAGTTTACACTTACTATTTCACTTTATTTCTTCTTATCTTGATAAGTCCGATGATGAATGTAGTGATCGACAATCCAAGTATTAGCAGTAGGCATACAAGGGTGGCTATGGTTTTCATAGAAGCGATTCTATACAAATAGAAGATATATGTTGCAATATAGCAGTTTATTCGCTTGCGCGATCTTCCCACTTACTCAGAAAACTTGTTTGGAAACTGTATCCTTGCGCGGTTTTCGAATTCTGCAAAGAGAAAACGTCTGCCAGTTTGCCGAGCAAGAAAAGATGCCTTCATATCGGCAGTCGCGTTAGCCGCCCTTTGCCTGTAACCGAGTAAGCCGTTTGTAGGCCGTTAGCCGCTTCTAGCAGCCGCTAGCCGTCTGTAGTAGCTGCTAACCTTTAGCATTCCCCGGTAAGGCGTTAGTGCAGCAAGAAAAGCATGATATTTCTGATCAACGTGCTGACAAGGGAGGTCCAATTAGTTGAAGTGGCCTTTCCAAATGACTCTCATATCGCTTTGAAGAGAATCAAACGCTGATTCCAAATCTGTTTTCAATATCTGCTGAGCCCCTCTGATGCCGAGTTACGAATATTTTCTTGGTGCGAAAAATGAACGCATAATCTAGGTAAAATCAAATTTTGTGGTCCTTTCAGCGCTTAAATAGAGCAGTGCTAAGTATGAGTGTTTTGGACAGAGATATTGTTCAAATGGAGTGCTCTGATAACCAACATTGGACCATTTGAGCATTCTGCCGAATTTTGTGCTAATTATGCATTCAATTTCCAATTCAAAGCTCATAACTCGACGTCTAGAGGCGCTCGGCAGGTAATGAAGATTTGGAAACAGCGTTCGATGCTCTTTATAGTCGTAACTCAGTCATCCTTACCATATGCCACGCCTATAAATACAGCTACAAGTCTAGATCAAATATAGCAATTTTTTTTGCAAAAACTGAAACAAAGAAAAAACCAGCAGCGTTTGAGCCACTAGATTATTCGAATTATTCGAATAGTCCAATATGCGGACAGGTATAAGTAGTATTGGTATATTCGACAATTCGACCGACTATTCGAATAGTCGAATATCTGACCATTGACCATATGTGATTATTCGATTATTTGATAGTCCGAATATTCGACCAGCCCCATTTATTCAAATATTCATTTTCGACTTTTGAAATGTTACTCGAATATTCAAAGAATAATCTGAAAATTACAGATCGAATAGTATTTGCTCGTTCAAATGTTTTCAAAAGCCGATTTCGATATTCGCTCGTTCGAAGAAAATTTTCGATCGTTTCAACTATGGAACTAATGGCGAGTACATACAGCTAGCGGTATGGCCAACGGCGGCTACCACCGGTTACAAGTAGCGGCAACCACCCGCGCGTTATGAAGGCAACTTAAGATAAAGTGACGAACTTGGAAACGCTAGCAGTAGCGGCCGAGAGCTGACTGGCTTTGATATCTCCTTTTTCTTCGCCTGTTGCTGGTAAGACTCCCAAATTTGTCGAAATTCATGCATTATATTGCGGAAAAGTTTCTCAATTTCCTTCGGTTTTTTGTCCGCATAAATTACCATATTTAGGCTGCTGCCATATACTTCCTTCCATTTGCTGGAAGTTCAAGTTTAATTTTGTGAAAAACACAATGAAACTCAGATCATGTTTGCCTAAACTGTTCATTTTACACTTTTCTTCGAAGGCACCGTCCACCCTAAGCTAGGGATTTTAAGATTTTGACAGCATACGTAGTAGGACCCACTATAAAGCCAATGCCCAAGTCGCGGCGCAAAATGTTGCTTCAAAAGCGAAATCGCTTCGAAATAGCGAAGATGCATAGGGACCTCAATTCGGCACCGCCCTTCTCCAGTGATGCTTGCCCGTCCGTACTCGCCCATCCAATCATGAACCTGCCTGCGCGGGTTCTCCGGAACGAGGATTGTCTGGGATTTCCAGATTCTTGACTTAATATTTGGAAAAAAGGGACATGTGAAGGGTTCGGAACGACAAAAATATGGAAGTCGAGATCTGGATGGACTGTGCCGTTAATAACTTATGTTTTTGCAACAAGTTAATGATCATGTTCCTTATAGAATGCCAACCGCTGAGTCAACTGAAATGAAAATTTGCGCACCTACATTTTCTTCCCCCGCATAAATCTTGCCTTACTTTGCTGCCGCTCGCTGGGTCCCTCCATCATTTTATTGATTTGTTCACTTTGTGATAAAAATAGATTCTTTTTGCTATCAAACTTCCAATTCCGCAGAGATACTAACGCTGTGGGTCATTTTCATTTTGCAACAAAGACGCAGTAACTCAGGGCGTCATGTAGCAGGCAAGTCTATTTCAATATCAGAGGGTTCAGCGCGGCGGTGATACCAATTAGCATAATATAGTGGTATAGAATGCTCAAACATAGTGTTTTTTGTCAACTTTGAAGGTAAAAAATAAAAACTTCAAAAGAGAAGAGCTAACCGACATCAAAGGCATCGATCATACCATAAACGATTGTGCTAAATCGCAGACAATACGCCTCGCAGCCTGGCAACACGCAGAATGCCCTAAAATAAACCGAGAGCGGGTTTTTAAAGCATAAGCTCGTAGCTTTTGCGGGCTGATGCAACATGTAGAGTCTTGCTCGAACAAAGTGCGCTTAGGAGTTTTAACAGATTAGCGATCCTAAATCGCTCATCGACTGAAATCGTGCGAAGTATGACCGATACCAAAAGTGTCAAAAGTCATGCGTCAACTCTCCCTGCGAAGCTATACTACCGGAAAAAATGGCCTGCGAAAGTTTTGCGGAAGACCTCGTTTTCTTGCGTTCAATCTTTGTTATGTAAGAGAAATGAGAAGTAGAGAGCCTCTACATACAGCTGTCACCTTGTGTAACTGCACCGTTTCTGAGATCTGCGGTGGGGCAAGTGGTACAGGTAGATTTGGATAAAATGGTAGTTTCATGACTGACTTGCCAGGCGCAAATACAGAATTGTCCACATAGTGATATTTACATAGACTAGCGGCCCTAAGGGCCGCTTGCAAGTATGCTAGGGTACATATAGTCATCACCACAATAACCTCTACGTTCTATACCTTTTTAGGGTTCTGGGCAACTGAAACCGAGTAATAAATGACTTTTGACTCTTCTGATTGTGAGAATCCTCTTTGCTGATTATTCGATACCTTTTGACTCTCTTCTAAAAATTTTCTTTGGGTCAAATGTTTGCACCAATCTCAACAGAGTCACCAAGCAGTCGACTCTCAAAGCGACGATGTAGTCTACACTCCGCTAAACACTCAGAAAGTACCTCAGTTCCCGAAAAATTCCGGCAGCGAAAACAAGCATTGTATTCTCATGCCTTATGCGTCGCCTATAAACCACTTTTTGCAAATACGTACTGCTCCGCGCCTTCAGAGCGGTATATGTGAAAGCTGCCTCACGATCCTGGAGAAGAATACTTCAAGAAAAACTTTCCTACAGGCCTCCTACAGAGCGGTAATCTGAGAAAATAGTGCCATTCATACCCCTACAAATGATATCGTATTCTGGGATAAGTCTGCCATACAATCCCCCCCCCCCTAACAAATCGAATATTGCGAGGAAGCCTTTAAGCTGCTTACAGACGGAAAAATTGCCCTATGGTCCGCCCGCGGACGGTAATTAGTCATTAGAAGGAAATGCCCTATGGGCCGCTTACAGACCCTTATTTTGACAAGACTACACTGTGGGCTGCTTACAGACTGGTATTTTTCAAAAAAGATATTTTCAAAAAAGAACTGCTCATGTAGAATGATCCTACGAGCCGCTTACGGACCTTTTCTAGAAAAGGTTGCCCTATGGACGCACACAGACCGATATCAAGAAGAAATTGTCTTTCAAATCTTCAAACCAACTTTCAAAAATTGTCCCAAGAGCCGCTCAAAGTCTATTCTTGCAAGAAGCAGTCGCTCGCCCTATGTGTAGCACAAGCTGGTATTTTGAAACAACAGAAGCTATGAGCTGCTTGAGACATATCTTTACGTAACTACCATCGATATATTAGAGAATATAACTGCCCTATGCGCCGCTGCAGAGTGGTAGTTATAGAAAGAAAATGCCCTATAGGCCACTAACAGACCGATGTTTTGAGAAGTTACTCACAGTCCCCTACAGACCGAGGTTTACAAGAACCCCCTTCCCCTTCCTCCGTCGTTCCTCTCCCAACAAACCCTACTGGAGAAAGAACCGTGCTGAGACTGCCCTAACAAGGGAAGTGTCAGAAGTCGCAGTGGCCTTTTGACATGGGATGGGTACCATCTTGAGCAGCTTTAAATGCTGATTCCAAAACAAACTTTCTTAGCTGCAGAACTGATCTGGGTCGCGAGTTATGGGCATTTTAAACATAAATTTTACATTGTTTGAAGTACTCTGTGATCACGGGAACCTTTCAATTGCTTGTTTAAGCACCACAGCATGACTTTGATGAAGGCGTAGGATTACGTTAAACATTGTTGGACTGTTTCATCTATGTTTGAGCCCGAAAAAATGTTCGCTTTAATTTTTGGCTATTCTCAGCGTTGTAAATTTCCCGCAAATTAAATTCAATAACTCTCGTCCTAGATTAGTTCTGCAGCTAAGAAAGGCTGCTTCGGAATCAGCATTTCAAGCTGCTTCAGATGATACTTATTTCATGTCAAAAGGCCACTGCGAGTTCTGACACTTCCCTTGTAAGACCGATATTCTGAGAAAAGCTATCTTACCCTCCCCCCTCTTCCTTCCCCCACAGACCGATAATTACAGGAAGCCCTGCCCTATGGGGGATCAGCAGATATTCCAGATTACAGATCTACAGCCCCTACAAACTGTATTGCCCTACGAGGCATTCACGTATAATCTGCTCTATGGACAGCCAAAGACCGAAGTCTTGAGAAAGAAGCTGCCAGCTACTTATTGTTAGAGGCCTACACAATGGTATTTTGAGGAGGAACCGCCCTTGGAACCTATATACAATTAATATTTTGTGATAAAACTGCTCTATGGGCCACCTACAAACCATAATTTGAGAAAGGACTGCCTTATGGGATTTTACAGACCAATATTTCAAGAAAAATTGCTCTATGTGCCGCTGCAAATCGATAATTTCTAAAAGGAGCGGCCGAGCGGGGAGGGGGGGGGGGGGCTTGCCAACGATAATTTGTAAAGAATCGCTCCATGGGCCTCTTGCAGCATTTTGGGAAATAACCGCTCTATGGGCGCTCACAGACCAATATATCAAGAATTGAGCTGGAAACCCTCAAACCAATATCTCGAAAAAAATTGCAGCCGTTCAAAGACCGATATTTGAGAAAGAGCGCTTTCCGAGTCCCTTATGAATTAGTCTTCTGAGAGAGAAAAAATAATTAGAACAGGTTACAGTATATCTACGCCTCATACAAACCAACTTTCACAAGTAACTCCTCTACGCGCCGCACACAGACCGACAATTTTAGGAGGTGCCCTAGTCGCTTATACATCAGCATTTTGAGAAAAAAGTACGAGCCTAAAAAGTGCCTGATGCTTATGGAACGATAATTGTATGACGATTCTACGAGCCCTTCCGCTCCTCTTCAAATTCATATCTGAAAAAAAAGCGCATTATGGTCCACCTTTAGAACTATAAATATGAAAATGAAATGTTCCCCTTGCGGACCGATACTTTGAGAAGGAACCACCCTACAAATAACCGTTAACTGGATAATTGTCGAAAAAACTCCTCAGGGGAGCTTACAGATCAATATTTTTAGTAGAAATGCCTTACTGGCACCTACAAATCAAGAAAGAGCCCTATGAACAGATTAAGCATTGAAAGATATGCCCAATGAACAGCGAACAGACTGGAGTTGTGAGAAATGATTGCAGAGACCTATAAGAATAGCCTTACGACTTACCAACTTATTTCAAGAACAGAGAACTGTCCTCATCAATTCTCACCAACTATGCCAGCTATGAACTTTAACTAATTATGGGCAGCCAAGAACTTAAGCAAAATGAAAATGTGAGCAGTCGAAGGGTAAACGTTGAGGAACTATTAAAGCATGTCTACGCTAGACAGCGAGTTCCGAATCATTCATACCGGCAGAGTTCAAACTTGCGAAAGAAGGGGGGGGGGGTACTGTTAGCAACCTTACGAGAGTGTCGGCCCCTTCCCAACTATAGCCTTTTTGCACTTAAGAACCGCACCCCTTTTGGACGCCTTCCTCGAGGAGACACGATATTTACCACCCCCTGTACCCCTACGAAAACACGCTAGCCTTGTAGACAATCTGCACCCTCCGCACCCTCGGCAATCACTCGCCTCAGTCCGCAACTTGTCAACATGTAAGTGCAAAACCTTGCCATTCTTTATTATAGAATGATTGGGGTAGGAGTAACGGGGAGTTTTTGCAGGCTTGGCTTCTTATCATGTTTGTTCTGTAGAAGGCTTCCCAGGGAATATTTTACAAGATCGCGTTTTACATAGCGGTAAAAAAATATGATGTATCCTAACAATGTCCGCCTTTGAGACAAATAACTTTACCGTCGATTGATTGTGTGCAAAACTTTGAGTTACGGGTTGGGAGTTGGCACAGGGGAGGTGGGGGGGGGGGGGATAAGCGAGCTTGCTGATTACCAATGCATCAACGAATTTGAGAAGTGTCGATTACGTTTACCGAGTTGGTTATTTTGAGCCATGGAATTGGGAGTTGGCACAGGGACGCTAGCAGGCATGTCGATCACGAACGCAATGTGAGTTTTTGAAATCATCGGTAATCTTTATCAATTTTTATCAACTTTTGCAAATTCAAACTACTTAGCGGGGATTTGGCGCGGGTATAAGTGACACGGAGTTGGTTCAAAGATTTGAAGAAGGAGGGAAATACTGTGTAGAAATGGGACGGACTGATGGGTTCCATCTGTTGTGTAGACATATACCAAGCGAAGCCGGGTATCAGTTGTCCTCACACCCAGTCCCGTCAGGTATGCGCCACCTTCTGCAGTAAAGATGGCCGCTGGTGGTAAAGTTAAAACTAACTGAGAAATTTCAACCATAAAAAAGTAACACGTAGACAATTGCATAAAATTAAAGGGAAAGCCTCGTGTTTTCTAGTAGCATTTGCCAGTGCATACTCGAAAGATAATGCAATTACACTGTAGGTGACCGCTGAGAGAGTCCTTTATAATAGATGTCAATGAATGCTAAACAAAATGTCATGAAAACGTGATCGTAATTAAGCAAAAAAGGTTAGCTTACGAATAGGGTAGGGTGGAAGATCGCGTCTGAGCTATATAAATTGAAACCATCTCTTTAAGGCTCATCTTTAAAGAAAGGTGAAAGTTTCAAGAAGCTTGAGCGGATATTGCCTCCTATTAATTATAGTCTTTGGAGCACAAGTAAAAAACTTCCGGCTTATAATCTAAGAATAAAATAATCGAATTAGCATGCGAGTCCGACGTTTACCCAAAGTTGGCCAATTAACACATTGACGACCAAAGCCTTTCTCGAACCAGCCAACATTTTTCAGATAAAATCCCGCACAATCCTATCTACAGTACATCTACAGCAGCGTTGGAATGCTGGCAAAAACAGTAGAGGTTGTATCTATATTCAGCATAAAAGAAAACTTCCAGAGTTGTTTTGAAACAAATTAGTATTCATTTTGACGGGAGTCATGGTGTGTCAAGCCATGACACACCATGTGTGTCAAGCGGTCGTCAAAGTGTTAACAAATACGCACGAATTCGTCGTTAAAATTGAAATTAGTTGTTGCTCACTATGCTTCGGCGAATAATAGCGGAATGTTGTTGTACAAGCTCATTGCGTCCTTCAGCATCTGACAAGAGCTCTGAACGATTTATGATTTACTGCGCGCTTTCAGTGATCGAAACTGAATACAAAAGCTAGATGCGGTATAAACCACAATTACACAAGCTGAATGCTGAGCTATATACTTCGCACTGTTTCGCTTACGTTCAAACTTCCACTCAACGTTGTAGTCAGGCTGCACATGGGCTTCGCACACGCATCCACGGAGTAGCCTTTTAGATGTTCGGCACTCAGTTTGACAGCGGCTATGGAGCCACCGTTTGACGAGAGTTCCTTCAAGATCTCGGGAGTACTCATTACTGTGCAAATGATAAGGGCATGTTCATTTTGTAACTGCTTTTTGTCAGGCATTGGTATGGCGTCTTCAAACATTGACCAATCTATCTCTTCGGGAGTGGTTGCCTTATGTTTGCCGGCTACTGTGTCTGAAAGCTTATGTTCGCTGGTTTCTGCCTTGAAGGCCTTGAAATTCCTGGTTTTACGATTTTTATGTGTTGTGCTGTCCACAGGTTCTGTTTCGTTGCCCGCTTTTGCCTGTAATTGCGTACACCACCTTTTGTTGAAGGCTATTATGTCAACATTGTCCGTTCATTACCTGTAGAAAATAGAATAGAAACATAAGCAACAACCGCATGCCTTGCCTGAATGGAAAGCAGTGAACAGTAAACTGCATGTGGAAATATTTCCATGCCAAACCTATGTGGGTATGATATCACATGTGCTCATATGAATCGCTCCTACATAAGCCACACGATTGACAAAAGCGAGCATAAGCGCCCGTTTCGAGAAAGCTCTTTTCGTTTACAGGTGAGTAGCAAAGCTTTACATATCGTCATTGCAATTGTATAGTGCAGTCAGTAGCAGTAAAAGAGTAGATTTCAAATGTTTTCTTATCTTAAAGGGAGATTCGACTGTCTCTACGTTGTATGCGATTCCGTAGTCGTGATTCTAGTTCCATGTGCGTAGCTAATAGCACTTTAGAAGGGGCTGCTTGCCGTGAGCAGCCAAGGGCGAGTTATCACATCTAATCAATCAAAGAATAACTGGTAATTCCAAGAAGTTTTGAAAATTAGGGAAATATGTCATTTGAGTTTGGGCTCTCTGACAAAACTAAATTTTCGTGCAAGCAATCACACTCCGTAGATCTAATCTTATAAGGGAAGTGTCAGAAGTTGCAGTGGCCTTTTGACCTAAGGATGACTGAAGCAGCTTGAAACACTTCTCCAAAACGGCCTTTCTTAGCTGCAGAACAAGTCTGGCGGAAGTTATTCGACTCATTTTCGAGAATTTACCGCTGAGAGTAGCCAAAACTATGAAAACCCATGTATTTTGGACTTGAACTTATTAGGAAAGGTATTTGACTCGAAGTGGGCTTTTTCAGTGAGATACATATAATTCGAAACTTCTTTAAACGGTGACATCAAAACAGTGTTCTCTATATGCTTATCCGTCTACTAAACAAAGTTACAGGCATTTTTCTGCTTTCAACTTACGTAGTCAGGAACGTCTAAATGAGCAATTCGTAGTAAATACGGATTTGCTCCAGAACTACATGCATGAATGTCTTAAATATATTTACCGCACATAGAGAAATCTATGGAAAATCGATGTTAATTAGTTCTGCAACAAGCAACGAAATTCAGTTCCTTCCAATCCCAAACAAATTCGTGGAACTTTATTCAGAAATTGATAAGCAGATAAGGAAAGCAATGATCCGCATTTTAAGGCAGTCAATATGGTATACACCTCGTTGGGTTAAGTCGCTTTGAGTCAAATACCTTCCTACTTTAGATGAAAAGTTTATCAATGCTCAGTGTAATTCTACTCCTTTTTCAATGTTATGTCAATACCGCTCACATTTTTTGAAAAATAGACGCGAATGTATGGACATGTCCGTACATGTCCATACATGTATGGACATGTCCATACATCAGCGTCGCGTGGCGATATCTTCGCTATCGTCGCTTCAGAGTGGACGAATTCTGAATCCAAAGCCTCCATTCGATTCAGCTCGGCACGGAGAATCTTCTGATATATTGGAAGTGGGGGTACGATGTCTTCGATATTCCGTTTCCAGTTTTTTCAATTTGTTCTGCGGAGGTCCTTTCGCGAATATGTGAAGCAAAGCCTACCCAATACATAGAAGACTCTACTGAGTACTATTCGATAATACTGTTCTTGTAGATTATTGTGCGCTAGAAAATAGGCTCAACTTCTTTCCAAAGGAGATAGAAGCGTTGGTGAATTTTGGAAAAATCATGCGTTTTCAAATTCTACTCGCCATAACTTCCTTCGGAATGAGTATATTTTGAATCTGAGAGCAGCGCCTTGCTCAGCTCATCAAGGCGAATCTTCCTATATACAGCATGTCCTTGATATTTCGATTTCAGTTTCTTGAATCTTTCTGAGGACGTCTTTTCGCGAAGGTGTAAAGCAGCGAGCATTGTCCCGAGTAAATTCCAGCAAGGATCTTTCGATAGCACTTTTTCCGTAGATTATGATGTGCTAAATAGTAGCCGCAGGTTTTTTTTCAAAGAAAGTAGAACGGCTGGTGAATTGTGGAAAAATCTTGTCGTCCCAATTCTACTCGCCATAGCAGCAGGATACGAAGCTATCTTGCTAAGCAGATGTGAGTTTCGAAATCAGCAGGTCGGATAACCTCTGTGAGCAAGTTTTCCGATATGTTCGGGTTATTCCATTTTTTCTCGTTTTACGCTCCAGAAGCTCACCGATGGATTTTGGTCAAAATGTTGATGCTCCTGAATTGTAAGGAAACTTCGCTTATAGAGGTTTTCGAACACGCTCTTTACGAAAATCGTGGTCTTTGAGGATAACAGGTCTTTATGGAGAGATACGATGAGGTGACTGTAACTTCACCACGAAAGTACGTAACTTTGGCCGCACTTCTCGCGTATCTGTCAGAAACCTTGCCTGCTTGCTTTTCTCAGTCAAAGTTACTAGGAACTGTGCTATCGAATGGTGCATTACTCAGGCTCCAGTCTGTGAAATTCGCCGAGTTACGAGCCTATGAAAACACGTCCTCTTGAATTTTGCCCAAAATGTAAAGATCGCATATCTCGTCGAAATTCCTCCGTGAGCGCTTGTATGACGCTTGTTGCAGATATTATGTTCGCTTCGTCGAACGACTCCCACTGCACTGAATATGGTGCTTGCGTCTGCTTCAGCTGCTCAATTGAATATCAAAGCTATTTCGTGGTTAGAGCTCAAAGCACCAAATCTAACACAATAAGATCCATTAAAAATGTAAATGGATTTGATAAGCGCGTTGTATTAGGTCATTCGGAAAGTTTTTTCCTTTTTGCGCCTTTGATGTTGATACCATATTTTAAGAGGGTGCCAGGGGGCTGATAAGGGTTGCCATGTATGGATCTGTAGAGGAACTCTTCCAGTTTCTGGGATCCCACCGAAATTGCAGAAGACGCTTTGTGGGGAAGTTTACGCGGCTCTAAATTCGACATACGAAAACGCGATTTCCGAATAATTATATTCTCTAAGCTTAAATTTGAGCGTAAGACAATTGAGGAAACTATCATTGTGCGCAATGCATTTGCCAAGACCACGTCTTTCTTGAGGTAGGTTCAAGTTTAAGAAAGTTCAGATCTAGAGAAGTGAAATTGCTAATTTTTTGCAGTGTTCTGGAAGGTGTTTCTGCCATATAAACGAGCATCTCAGGGGGTCCTTTGGAACAAATCGCAATTATAGCTGCGTAAAATTATCAGCAGGCCCTGAAGTGTCATATAACCCTATTAGGAGCCACCTTCGCTAAAGCTGCAATACCGAAAAATTTCAGCGACATGTACCCCACAAATTGTCGCACTCGCAGATTGAGGGCGCGTTGACTCTGCTTTCGTCGCTCATAATTTTATGTAGCCATCCTTTTCCGGCCTGGGTTATTAATTACAGCAAAAAATTGGCCAAGTGCAGCTATAAAAAGCGACAATGTGGTAAATCATTTGAAATAAGCATTGAAAGCATGACCAGAACAATCTGTCATTCCAAAAGGTTGATGCACTCAATTAATGTAATCCTGCTTTTCTTGTACGCTATAAACTTGCTAAAATGCGATTGTACTGTAAGAGCAGAGTAGTGTGATGTCGCTCTGAAGACTATTTGTCAAAATTTCAAAACTGAGCAGACTTGCACGTATAAGGTATGAGAGATGCCATCCACGCCCATGACTCCGCCAAACCACAAGTAAGAAAAGTGGCTCTCACAAAAGGGGATGACTGCGCACCGAGGTTCCTGTTTATTTTTCAAACTCTTTAGACCTTCCTTTACCAGTTACCGAATTTTCCAATTCCTCGTTGCCTATAAAAAAATAATGGGACCTAATAGAGATTGACTAATCAAAAACGCCTTTTCAGGCTTTAGTGATTCCTCTGAGATCATTTCGCAAGAGAAAAGCACAAGAGCACTATAAGAGTGTAACCAGAAATTTGCTGAACACAATGCAGTTTATTTGATGGAACAAGGTTGAATCAGGAAAAAATTGTGCTCGTTTGAATTTGGAGGTGCAAAGAGGAAAAAACTTTACGAATGACCTAATACAACGCGCTTATCAAATTCATTTACATTTTTAATGGATCTTATTGTGTTAGATTTGGTGCTTTGAGCTCTAACCACGAAACAGCTTTGATATTCAATTGAGCAGCCGAAGCAGACGCAAGCACCATATTCAGTGCAGTGGGAGTCGTTCGACGAAGCGAACATAATATCTGCAACAAGCGTCATACAAGCGCTCACGAAGGAATTTCGACGAGATATGCGATCTTTACATTTTGGGCAAAATTCAAGAGGACGTGTTTTCATAGGCTCGTAACTCGGCGAATTTCACAGACTGGAGCCTGAGTAATGCACCATTCGATAGCACAGTTCCTAGTAACTTTGACTGAGAAAAGCAAGCAGGCAAGGTTTCTGACAGATACGCGAGAAGTGCGGCCAAAGTTACGTACTTTCGTGGTGAAGTTACAGTCACCTCATCGTATCTCTCCATAAAGACCCTGTAATCCTCAAAGACCACGATTTTCGTAAAGAGCGTGTTCGAAAACCTCTATAAGCGAAGTTTCCTTACAATTCAGGAGCATCAACATTTTGACCAAAATCCATCGGTGAGCTTCTGGAGCGTAAAACGAGAAAAAATGGAATAACCCGAACATATCGGAAAACTTGCTCACAGAGGTTATCCGACCTGCTGATTTCGAAACTCACATCTGCTTAGCAAGATAGCTTCGTATCCTGCTGCTATGGCGAGTAGAATTGGGACGACAAGATTTTTCCACAATTCACCAGCCGTTCTACTTTCTTTGAAAAAAAACCTGCGGCTACTATTTAGCACATCATAATCTACGGAAAAAGTGCTATCGAAAGATCCTTGCTGGAATTTACTCGGGACAATGCTCGCTGCTTTACACCTTCGCGAAAAGACGTCCTCAGAAAGATTCAAGAAACTGAAATCGAAATATCAAGGACATGCTGTATATAGGAAGATTCGCCTTGAT